CCCCCCGCCATTGCCGTAGCCAACGAGGGGGTAGGAGGGAGTGGACATGGCAACGCGAACGCCTGGTTCACATAAAGCATTATCAGGTAAGCTACTGCAGTCAACGAGTTCGCCATTGACTTACTCTGTGCGATTGAACTGTTTGCTTGTGAGATTTTGCTGAGACTCGATTCTGCCTCCACGCACATTATATACTCCTCAGAATATCCTTCCAGGTGATTCAATCTAAGACACATTGGGGCACAGACCTAATCAGCAGCGAAACAGAATGGAAACGACTCATCATTTTGATCCTCCAGATAATCAAAGCATGGAGGACTACAACACTAGACTAGAAAAAACGCAACTTACGACCATATGATCAGCTAGACCACAAATCTCCGTCTATTTCTGACAGCAGAATAGCTTCGGTGGTTCAAGCAGGCCGTCTTCGATGGAGATTTGGCAGCATGTTTACTTCGGAGGGGTTGAGACGGCGGCCGCATGTACATGAATCCAACGCAGCATAATTGAGTGGATAGGCATACAATTTAATATGCTAAAACCTGGGGCAGATATTCGAGGGAGTGACAACATATATGGCGCACCTATTAAAATACGCAGAATGACATCAGGCTCAGCCTTCGGCAATTTTTTCCACAGTCTGCTGAGCATGTCAATGCAATACAAAAACAGTTCGGGAGATAAACGCACTGCATGCAGCGCTGACAGCGAGAGCGGCTGAAAACCACACGCATCTTACGCAGTTGATACGGAGACCACTTACCACCAAGTGGATGTTTCAATTCTGGGAAGCAAGGAGCGCATGAGGTTGATGTTGATGTTGAAATAATGGAACTATGACGTGAACTCAGCTTAAACTGAAGCGGCCATGATTAGCGAAGGATCCGGACGACCGGGTGGGGAGCTCGACTACTTTACCTCAGAGGCGACATTAACCTCAATTTGCATTCAACGGCACGAAATGGCGTACGTCAACATCATACCTACCTAATGATAAATATTCTTCATACGGCTTCAACTTGATGTGTCAACAATACGTTAACTATGTACTATTACCACTGCTACCAGTTATAATCGTGACAATATTGAACATGAAATCGACGCACACTCGGCAATTCATACTGTCGATAAAATCTAACAGTGATATTTGACCAAATTTATTGCCAACTACGATGCGGCAGCGCAGCAGCGACACGGAATCATGATTGTACTCCGATACTTCAGCTTCATTGAGGAAGAGATGGAAACAGACAGCCAAGGACCCATTCTTGTCAAAGTTCAAGCCGCTGCACGAAGAAATCCAGTCACGGTGCTGAGGCCGCGGCTGTCGGCCCGTCACTGGTTGGAGCATGTAATATGAACTCCAGTTGGGCTTGCCAACTATAGTCAGATATGGAGGAAGGGTTGAAGCTGGAAGTCTAAGGCCTTTCTCGCTGTCACCGGTAAGAGTCACAGCTCGACAAGCCTGCACATTCTCTCGCTGAGATAGAAAATCGATCAAGGTATATCCTCGACAAGTTGCAACTATGGTCGACAACTGCAGCTACGAACTCCCCCTCATCTCCTCCTAGCAACGCTCTCAACTTCTACCAAGAACATCGCAATCCTCGGTGTGCTTATGACGCCAATATCCACCGCCCGCCCACTCATCATCGGCTCCTGTGCGGGGCTCGAAGCACCGTACCCCCTGCAGATGGAAGGCAAAGTAATCAGAGGCTTCGGGCGTGGCTCCGAAGAACTAGGCATCCCCACTGCCAACCTCCCCGTCGACAACAGCCGGACATCATGGAGCGCTGATATCGAGTCCGGGGTGTACTCTGGCTGGGCCTCCCTACGCCTACCACCTTCACATCCGAACCAACCAACGACATCAATCGGGTACGGCAGGTTTTTCAAGACCACGGCGCGGTCGGCTGAGGTGCACATGCTCTACGAGTTCGAGGCTGACTTCTACGGCGCCGAGATGCGCCTGTTGGTCGCGGGGTTCATCAGGGAGGAGAAAGACTACGACGATCTGCAATTTGGGGCCGATCGAGGACATCCGCCTGGACTGCGATGTAGCGCGCAAGAGCTTGGGATCGCGAGGCATGGGCATCGCAGGAGACGGGCAGGGGCACGTTGGACGGGAGTCGGTTGGTGCGAGAAACGGCAGAGCAGAATAGGGCTATGCTATGACGACGTGGGAACCAGGTAAGTGGGTGGCGGGGAGACACAGCGTATGGGAATCTTGTGCTCGTGGCAGGTTGCTGGCCCGGAGTCCGAAGGAATAAGCAAGTGGCTGATCCTCCACTTTAGCCTTTAGGTGGATCTCGGGTGCGAAACTGGCGCGCAAGTAGTCGCCTGTCGCTGCAATCAGCTGGATTCCCAACGAAGGCAACTCCCCGGCCGTAAGGTCATCTCGTGTGTTTTTTCAACTGCATGTCTGACCGCCTGTGCCCTCTATATTTATGTCTTTTACGTCGGCGAAGGCGATACGCTTTGCGCCAGCTATACTTGAGCTTGATCACTCCGTCGCCGTGGTGCTTGGGAAACTTCGGTGCCGAGGAATATGAGGTGGCAGCTGTCCTCTCGCGCGCACTTGTAAAGTTGCATGACAACCAAACAGCCGTCGGTATGTAGGTGGGGTTTCGGTCGACTGAATATCCTCAAACAATCTCGGAGACGCATTATCTACCTTCGTCCAATGTTTGGGTGCTCGAGAATGTAGGCTGAAAGAGAAGAATCGGAAGGTATTCACTCACAAAAGTTGCGCCGCTGTGGCTGATGCTCCGAGCCGCCTCGAATAGCCTCCGGCTGCGCGCCGCACTCTGCCGTTTTTCCATCTGCAACAGGCTAGCGAAGCTCAAGCTCTGCGTGTGCGCGTGCGTGTATTAGATACTGCCGTCCTAGTGGTTGTCAGGCGCAACCCTGGCTTTCATTCTCCTTTTTGTGCAGTATTTCGTATCGCCTCGTTTTTTGGTCACAATGTGCACTTACAGCCCGAGTTTCTACGCCCGTTCGGCTTCAACCCCGTCGAGAATATACAATTACAGAATTGATGCCATGGGCGCATGTTATATACAGTACCATCGCGTGACACCTTGACTACAAACCCAACAACAAGCTACATCCAGACGCAATCATGGCCGGTATCGGACACGACCGCATCCCCGCGCAGTGTCGCTCCCTACACCAGCTCCAGCAGATGCCACTCCCCATCAACGTAGTGCGCTTCCTGTATACACCCCGGGCTGCGCACCGGCTGGAAGCCCACGTGGATCTCGCACGCCCCCCCGTCGTTCCGGGTGGCCGTCGCGTAGAGGATGCTGAGCGTGTAGACCATGAACCCCTTCGCGCTCAGCGTCGAGTCCGTGTCGGACCACTTCGCGCCGTCGTAGATGAGCTCGCTCACGATGTTCTGGGTGTTCATGTAGTACACCCGGATCTGCGCGCGCGCCCGGTCAGCGCGTTCGGTATGTGCGCCTGGAATGGGACCGCACCTGGTTGTCGAAGGCGACCGCCGCGAGGGCGGAGCTCTGCTGCGCCCTGTAGGTGCCGGTGATGGTCGAAGATTGCGGGGAGAGCTGCGTGGCCGCGGGGTCTTGCGCACAGTTGTATTCGAGCTCTACGATCTGGCTCTCTCGGCCGACGTAGTAGACGTGGACGTTGTGGCATGTGGGGCCCCTCACGAGGAGGCTTGTCGTCCCGGTGATACCTTGGACCCACGGATATGAGGTCATGGTGCCTGGACGGAGCAAGACGTGAATACGGTGCTGCTCGTTTCGAGATGGGTACGTGAGGGGCGTGCGTACCGTCTTACTGCCACCAGAGCTCGAGCTGCGCTTGTCCTGCACTTGCGCGATTTTATATATGGGGCGAGGAAGGGACATGTGGGCTGGGGTCTGGGTGCCGAGGCGCAAGTCGATGCACGAGCGTGAGACGAAACACCGCAGGTGCCAACTTGCGAGCTGCATGAATGCACCCATCTCCATGCATGACGAGAGATTTGGCTGCAAGATCGCACCGCATCACCGGGGGAGGGAGCTCCCGGTCTCTCACCAGGTACGCAGGATGCTGCTATCGCATAGACAATGGGCGCGGCATCTATACGTGAGCAACGATCAGCAGGTCGCAGACGTGCTTGCATACGCTCTCCAAGGCAGATTCTCCTCAAGACGCGGGGCTTGAGGCAGAGTAGCACGAGCCGTCCGAGCTGCTGAGCCGCGGCCGGGCAAGGTCGCCTTCGCGGGTGGCCTACCGCCTGCAGACCAACGTTGAAGCGAGCATTGACTGCGCGCGTTACGAGTGATCTGCGAGGGCTTATGATGAACGCACCCGCTCGAGATCCGGCGATATGGATGGCACGGAGGAGTTGTACACTCCGGGTGTGCGCGATCTCACGAGTGCTCGTCCGCTCGTCTCGTGAGGGCACCCATCGCCCCCCTGTGGGATCCGCGGCATTTTCTGTGGCTTGCGGCTCTCGACTGTCGACTCTTTGGCATCCTCGTGCCTCGAGGAGCACCAGTCTTGAAGAGTCCAGATATTATGCGACGGAGCCGAGTCGTACGCGCATCTTGGATTGGTGACATGCGGCAGCGGCATATATACTCAGGGATTCGAGCCCTTTATAGACTACGACGGCTGGACTCGCCAGCGGAACCATCAACGACATCCGTATGATAACACGCTGACTCGCGGAATCGATAATAGGAGGGCACCGCCCTAGTTGGTCAGCTGTCGGCGGATCTGATCTCTGATGGTTGATCACGACCACTGGCGGCAGCCCGAGGAGCCTCTAGCCGGCCGCAGAGAAAATTGGCGAGGACGAAAAGGTGAGGCGACGATGCGAAGACGTGGGAGGTAGACGTGAGCCTGCACGACATACAACTTGGAACGAGGCCTGGGCTTGCGGTGCATGGAGTGAAGGGGCTCAGCGATCTGCAAAGCAACGAAGGCCATAGCCGACCACAATGTGCCGCGGCATAGGATCACATGCAATGCTCGTGTTTGTGCCAGCAGCGAAGTTCAGGTCCGCGTTGACAACTTGAAGTTCGGTTCAACGTGAATTGGACCACAGCTGAACGGCGGCAGACCGAGCACGACGAAGCGTCGAAGGAAGCGAACTGATTTGAGGTAATCAGGTAAGATGGCCCGTTGTGACGCAGAACAGCGCTCGATCGCCCAAGGTGGCATTTTATTTCTATTTCACTCGAATTTCTACTTGGAGAGAAAATCTCCTCCCGTGGCCACTTGAAAGCGGTGGCGGCATCATCCGTAGCTGAGCTTGAAACCCCGATCGAGGCCGGCAAGTTTGTTTATCCCGAACTGCGCCACGTTCAGTTCGAGCACGGCGCGCGCTCAACTCTCAACGTACACGGTGCTAGTTCCGCTAATGGAGGTACAGCGAGCGTATACGTATACGTATACGTGTACCACCGGAGCTTACAGCTCGCATCGGATTCTGGGCGTCATGATGAAGTCCATGGCATATGCGGAACGAGCTGATCCGCACCCTGTTCGCGAAAGGTGCGTTTCGGTCGACCAATAAATACTCTATACTTTCTAATCACGGCTGTTCGCCGTGGAAATGAGGGTGCCAGCATCAGCCGAGCCTTCAAAGTGTGACGGCTGACGTGGCCGTGCTGCGTTGGGGCGGGGGTCATCTGGCCACCAAGCGAACTTTGTCTTGTGAAGCCGAGCACGCTCGCCCGTGGGACGGTGAACGCATCCAGGTAGCTCCACCGAGTTGTGTTGATCACTAGTCGCTCTTCGCGCCTTCTCGCCCTTCACGGGGTTCGAACTCCCTCCCAGGCCCTGTCTGCAGCCTAGTCCTCCAGCAGGCGCGTGAGACGCACACGAGGCGGAATCGGCAGCGATCTCTGCGGGACGTATTGCCATCAGTGCATGCAATATCAGCGGATTCTGGCGGTGACTAGGCGGACAGGCGTTTGCCATATCACACCCGCGATGGGATTGGCCCCGGGCGGGCCCCCTGTGCACCGTACCCTCCCTCTCTCTCGCGCGCCGAATGAAAGTCGGACGCGGATGCTGTTGCCGGTCTGGCCTGCTTCTTCCTCGCCTGTTGTGCTGCCGCTACTAGCTGCATGCGGACGTTGTCGTGCCTCGCATGATCCATCGTCCATTCTCAGGGTCCTCGCAATTAATGGCCACGGCAGCCCCTTCACGGTGGTCTCCCTCCACGACGTCTCGGCCTTTGAATACAGGAAGAGAAGCGGTTCCCACAGGGCGGTATCGATTGACGCGAACATTGGGTGCTGCCCGCGCGCCTGCGCGTGAGACAGCACCTGGGAGGCCATCCGTCATTTAGTCTATTTGGTGCGTTCATATATCACGTTCTCCCGCAGGATCTCTTCCTTATTAGATGCAGCAATCGTCAAAGGGGGGGAGGGGGGGATTCTATATCGAATAGCCCTCTGCGGCGACTTTGACGACCGCCGCTCTGGGTCAGGCCCAGATGACATGACGGCAATGGTCCGACTGACGGGGCTTTTTCATTTCATAGGTCACTGGCCCATCTCGCGCATCATCCCGAATATAGCCTCAGCGGCTTCTAACTTGGTCTCTATTGATCCTGAGCGCCTGGGCACACGCAGGCGAGCGATGTGACATGTTGGCCACCTTGATATTTCCAGCGTTGACAGCTGTCGAACCAAGGATGCCAGGTGCGAGTAATGCAGTGATCGTGCATCTGGGATCTTTCGAGGCGCCGCTTCCATGCGCTAGGCCGTGTTTGGGTGCGATTGAAATCCCTATCCACGCGATCTGGATGGCACTGCCCCTCCGACGTCCGCGCTGTCTCGCCTCCGTGACGGTGACCACATCCATCGGGATGCGTCCTGTTGCTAGCGAAGAGTCGTCACGCATCACGCGTGATGCCGTGGCCCCCGCATCGGCATCTCCTGATCTCGCGCCGCCGCCGGTGACGACTGCGGCACCTCCGAGTGCGAGTGGCGCGTATTCGATCCATCCTGTCAGATACCTGGTCGATGCCATACGAGCTCCTATGTCACCGCTCTCACCCCCAGCGCCTGCAGCATCGCAGCGGCAGTCCCACTCCCAGTGCGCCTTCTCTTTCCCGGGAAAGCTCAGCGATTCAGTTCCGCGGCCATCATCTGCCTGATACGTTCCGAACAGCATGCGCAGCGCGAGTCGCTCCGGCGCCGGCGGACGGTTCACGCTGGTTCGCGCAGGGCAATGAGGAATGCGCGAAGCTTCTCCGCGCCCGGCGTAACTGCGTAGGGCCCAGCTTAAACGATGGGCCTTCCTTGGCCTGTTCTGCCCGAGGCTTCCTAGTGCGCCCGTGCCTAGTGCACGCCCAGCTTGGCTCTTCTAGCCCATCTCGGGCTGGACCTTCGCGCCAGGGCCCCCGATCTCCACAGGGCGTCCTCGCGCTTCCTTTGACGACAAACGTCGCGGACGCAGACTGGAGCTGGAGACTTGTGCCGGCCCCGTGACGGCTTCGCTCGCACGGCCCTGTTCGTTGGTCCCGGTCGTCCTGCGTACATATGGTGCGCACGGGCGGGGGCCCCTGTCGCTGCCCGCGTCCTACTACGAGTAGCACACCATCCGAGGCCGTCTCCCACGCCCGTCTCAGCTCTAGCCCCGGTTCTTCGCTCGAGTCGGTGGCCGGCGCGTCAAATCCAGCACGCCCCTCCTCGTGTGCAGATCGCCCGCTGCGACCCAAACCCGGCTGGTCGCTGCGCTAGCCCGCGCATTGCCCCCGGACGATCTGGGCACGTCAGACGGCGATCTGTGCGGTCTCGCGCTGTGGGTGCCCAATTATTTAATAGGCGGACTCAAGCGGGTCCTGCAATATCCATATGCGCTGCGCTTGTGCTGACGTCGCGCAAGCGAGTGCGTTGCACGTCGGCTCGTGAATACAACTGGGCCCTGCGGTGCGAATCCCCATCGATCCGCCATGCCTCGCTGTTGCAGCCTGTGCGGCTGGCCGTCTGGGCCTCTGGCACGCGGAGGGTTTGCCTCCCTCCAGCTGGTTGGGTCGACCCTGGCGTAGCGTACGGTATCGGAGGCAGTGCGCGTTCCACCACGATGTATTGATATCGAGCCCGGTCGCGCGATCCATTACCCGTCTGACGCGTTCGCGCAGCGTTGTTGCAGCCGTTGCACGATAGCCCGGCTGGCCCCCGGGAGGCTCGCATCGCCTGGCGCCTGCTCGCATTGCGCGACGGAAGCCGGTCTGCGGACTCGCACCAAACACGGCCGTTTTCGACCCGATTTGGACGCGTGCCCTTGTTCAGCGCGCGGAGGAAAAGGCAGTCACAGGCCCCGCATGCACAATCCAAGACAGTCGACGACTCTGCAGACGCGACGTGCGCGCAACTGTCCACTCGGATCCCCAGCTTGTCAGCGTGCTCCGTCCGCGTCACAGGGGTGGGAGTCTGACCTGGTGGATCGCATTCAGCAGCTTGCTCTGGGAGAGTCAAACCGCACTCGCCATGGCGACAGCCCCAAACCGGGGAGGGGACACATCGACGCAGCCGCCGGCGATCCAAGCGTCGACGTCGACGACCCCCTGCGCCCGCACATCGCGTCGAGAAACCCGCGCGCCGGGGCAACGACGTGCTCCATGTCGCGCAGGGGAGCCGATCCGCGCACCCGGTGGCGCTGTCCCCCAGTATCAGAGACGAGTGCGCGCCCGCTTCCCGCTGCGTCATCGAACGCACCCTCGCCGGGGCGCGGCGCGATCTGGCGCAGAAGCCAAGTTTCATACCGTATCTGCACCGATCGCGCTGACGGTTCGCTCCTCGACGACGGCGCGGCCCGCGCTGGACGTCGCCGGCGACCGGATGCGGCGGCGCCGGGAGGCTGGCTGTGTGGCGCAAGGTTCGACGGCTGGCACCCGCCCGGTGGCGTCTGGGGACACATGCACGCACGCACGGCGCCACTGGAGCAGGCTGGCAGCGAGCCCCGGCGGATCTCCTTCCTCCCCCGGAGCGCGCGCCAGATCCGGGCCCTCGCGCCGACAGACAGACAGACAGACAGACAGACAGGTGCTACAGACAGACGCGCGGGCAGCTGGCAATTTGACGTGGGCCTCCTCCGATCAGAACATGGGCGTTGGGCTGGCTTCTGTGCGAGCCGCCGCGTCCAGGATCGCAGCGAGATCGCGCCGCCTGACGTGGGCCGCT